CAGATGGTATGAGCTTAGGTGCAGTCACCAACTGAAAAGAGGAAGCATTAGTCTTATCATCCCCCCTCAAGAGAATGGGGCAAGGAAGCACCATGAGCTTGGATTTGAGAAAATGGAATCGAGGACAGGGCAAGCCTTAGTAAACAAATCAGCAGTCTGATCTTGAGTAGAAATGAACTACAAATTAAGCTGTTTGGCAACAACCCGTTCACGAACAAAGAGGAGAAGACCGAGCTAAGGATAGTTCGGCCCTCTGTGGCTCGGTATAGCCAATTTTACTTCGGTCAAATGGAAGTTTGGCCATAAAGAAAATCATCCCACTTGGTTTAAGCAGTGGGGGAGGGTGTAAAAGGATAAGCATTATCCTTAGGAGAATGAATCCTAGGAGGACTCTGCATGGAGAAGTACAAGTCCTACTAGGATTGTGCCACGGAAAACTTATAAAAGCCCACAAGCATCACCTTGGAGGAGGTAATTGAACGTAATTCTTTCTGAGAACATAAAACTTTGTCTATTTGTCAAACTTACTGACTTAGGCATCGGAGAGGTTTCCGGCACACACCCGCCGGCTAGCTCACGTTTGTGTTTTCAGGTGATAAAGCGACGTCGTACGGAGGAGCGTGGAATTGGTCAACAGGATTATACGAGGAGAATTATTTCCTCCCCGTACAGTTCTCATTATAAATCTCTTTTTGCTTATATAATGAGCGTTGCTATTTGAATATACTTAATTTCTTTGGACCCTCAAATTCTTAATTTTTTTTAATTACAATTATATCCTAAAGTAAAATTATATTAAAAGACAACTTTTAATGGAAGACCTACCCACCAAATGAAAACAATTAGAATAACACTCTATAATATTGTACACCCACCACCATCCTCATCTATGCATATTCATTACCAATCTAAACCCTAATCGTATTCTTCTTCATCACCATCCAAAACCCAAGTATTCAACTTCAGTGAAAAATATTTGAACCGCTTAATCAATTAAGGTTTTATTCGGTGGTTTCAAATGTGTTCGATGTTCTGCATTCCAAATCAGTTAACATTGCAAACAATCTTATTATAGATTCCAAGTTTCTACATTTGTGGTCGTTTTTACCATTCGTTGATAATTATAGAGCAATGAAGGAGGATGACAACAACTCTGATGAGGTTGGTATTGCATTGGTAAGTTTATCTATCTTGTATTTACGATTCTGGGTCATTTTTGGTTCAGTACTGGTTTACTAACTATTAAAGTTCTATTCAGTAATACAGTGCTGAACAAAAATATTTAGTTCAGCAATACAATGCTGAACATAAACATTTTGTTTGGCACTGGAATGCCAAACGTTTTCATTTTTGTAGGATTTTGCCCTATTTTTATTTTTTCTGAGGGTTTTTCCCTCTAAAACCTCTTGTATCGAGGGTTTTACCTTGAAATAAAAAAAAAAGAATAATATGTGATGGGGAGTTAAAGGTTGCTTGAGAGAAAAAGAAAGAGACCGTCAAAGAGATTTCCGACTGAGATACCATCGTCAAAGAGATTTCCGATTGAGATACTATCGTTCAAGATGACAAGAAGAAGGAGACCATCATTTATTAGAGAAGAAAAATAGAGAGAAATCGATTCGTCTCTCAATCATTTGTTATTCTCAATCATCTCTCAATTATTGATCGTTTACTAAGAAAAGAAGAAGAGAGGGTGTGCAAAATTAGGTGAGTGTGCACTTAGGTGTGATAATATTATGAGTATAGATAAAACTAGTATTAAGTGGAGTGTTCAAAGAAATCTTTTTAGATTTTTTTGTAAATAATTTAGCCAATAATTATTTTTTAAATTAAAAAAATAAAAAATTTGCAATGAGATTTTGGAACTCCCACATGGTTTCTCATTATAAATCTCCAATTGCTTATATAATATACTAGTGGTAACCCTTACCATGCACGCAACTTTATAAATTTTAAAAAAAAAATCATTATAATTATCTTGAAATAATTTAATATTTTATTTTGTGGTATACATGAAATTTATAAGTTAATTTTTATGTTTATAACTTTTTAAATTATTAGTTTAAAAAAATTTTAAAAAAATATATATTTAAATCTATTTAGTGCAATTTTGATAATTTGTATTAAAAAAATTTAAACCTGATTAACTAAAATTAAATGCGTTATTTCATACCTCTCTTATTATGAAAATATACAAATTTAAAAGTTATAATTAAGGCAAATATACAATTTTATTATTAAATGTAAAGTGAAGTGATATTTAACAATAATCAATATGATGTTTCTATTATTAATCCAATAGTTTAAGTTACATTTATTTTGATTTCAATTTCATAACTAAAAATACAATATGAATATAATACACACATAGATTTGTAATCTTTAAGAATAAGAATGTTTCAAAATATTTTCAAACTTTCATCATTTTCTTTTAATTTTTTTTTATCTAATTTGATTTTAAACTTGAATAAAAATTTTGATTTAATATCAATTACTTTAATTGTTTCATTAAATTTTATCAATTTTTAAAAGAACTTTCATTCTTATTCCAATTTTTTTTTTCTTTTCACCAATTTTGATGGAAAAACAAGTGTGTTTCGTTTTAATTTTTTGAAAATTGAATTTTTTATTTTTTGTATTTTTTTGTTTTTAGTGAATATTTTTCAAATTTTAAGCGTTTTTTTACTTGTTTAGATGCGCCTTAATTAGATGTATCTAAATAATAAAATATTTATGAAAAAATATTTTAAAAATTAATAAATACACAAAAATATGAAAAATGTACTATTTCTGTATTTTTTGGTATTTAGTGTATTTTTAAAAGATTTTCTCACAAATATTATACTTTTTAAGTGTATTTATGTTAAGTGTGTCTAAAAAAGTCGGATTATGGAAAAAGTTTTGAAGCGTCAAACATTTTCCATTTGTAACTATCTTGCATATTAAAAAAAGAAAAAGAAAAAGAAAAAAAATGTGTAGCTTTTGGATATGTGTTTATTAGTTTTATTTTATAGACATAAACAATTGATGTTTCAATTTAAAAAATTAAAAAGTAAAAAAAAAATAGATTGGGTTTTTTAGAGATAAAAAAAATCATCTAACTCTTCTATATACTATTTAAGATGGACTATTTTAATCACATAAAAAAAATAGAAATTATATTTAGAAATTATCCCTATATATTATGCTATTACATACAATTATAATTGTAACAAATTAACTATAATATATATGAAAAGTTATATTAAACTTTCATTCTCAATTAATTGAATTATAATTAACAAACTAACAAATAGCAGTAATGATATAATGAGATAGAAAGAGGATAAAAATAAAGAACATAATGATATTTAAAAGTTTTAAATTTATCTAATTATACAAAAATCTAATGATATAGTAAAATCTGAAATTCTTAATAAATTTTCACATTTTCAATAAAATAAAATGACAAATAAAAAATAAAAAATTTGATACCCATTTTTTTTTATTTCACTTCTATGGTCTTCACTGAAGAAAACAAAATCTGATCAAAATCATTGGCACAAAACGGACATAGATACTCGATTGCAACCATAATCACCAATAATTCTTTTCCACCATATAAACCTGTAAACAAACACATAAACCTCACTAAAATCGGAACTAAAACTAAACCAACAGCAGAAAAAGAGAATCACACAGGGAAAAAATAAAATTAAAAAACAAATAAATTTATGCAGTGGGAGAATGCTACCTCCAACAACTTAGTCTAGGAGTTGAGATGACTAATCAAATTATTCTTTAAATAAGACTTAAAAATTGATTAATTTGTCCCATTAAGTGATTTAAAATTTTGGTGGATATACATCAGAAAAATAGATAATTATATTACTAAATCATAATTCAAATTTAGATATTGCCATATTTTTTTAAAATCCATATCTAAATTCTTATCTTTTTTATTTTGTGTGTGGTCTCTATTTGATTTTTTTTTTCAATTTATTTAAGATGGTGTTGTGTGTTGCTATTTTTTTTATAATTTAATTTATTTGTGGTTTCAATTTTTTTTTAATTATTATTATTTAGGTAAGTTATGATGTGAGTTAGATATGTTATACACATGTGAGTTTTATTGATTTAAAGTATGATGGTGAGAGATATTTTCAAATTAGATTTGTTTAGATAAACTTCAAAGATTTTTAAAATTTAAAATTGGATATTGAGATGCAAAAGAAAGATTTTAACTGAATAAATAAAAATCGAATTTATTAATTTTATTTGTTTGTATATCTGTTTTTTTGTTTTTATTTTATTTTATTATGTTATGATCTAATATATAAGATATAGATAGATACCCAGAACTTTCATGAAAAATATTATCTAATTTTTTGGAGAAGGGAGAAGGAAGGCAAGTTTTAATTTTTTTTGGAAATCCGTGAGAGAGATTAGGATGGAGAGATTATGAAATATTTTTGTTATCTTTTCATTTGAAATTCATAAATTACGGGATAATTATTATTTCTAAAATAATTAAATAAATAAATCAAGTTTTTTTAATCTATTTTATAAATTGAAAAATCAATAATTTTAGAAAATTGATTAATTTGTCCCATTAGGTGATTTCAAATTTTTATAGATATACAAAAAAATAGATAATTATATTACTAAATTATAATTCAAATTCTAATATCATTATATCTTTTTGAGATCCGTATCTAAATTCTTATCTTCTTTATTTTTGTGTGGTTTCTATTTTTTTTTTCCAATTTGTTTTGGAAGGAGTTGCAGGTTTCTATTTTTTTAAAATTTAATTTATCTGTGGTTTCTATTTGTTTTTAATTATTATTATTTAGATAAGTTATTATGCGAGTTAAATATGTCAAAGATATGTAAGTTTTATTGAGCAACAAAGAAAAGGAGGATGGATTCCGGTAGTAAATCAATGGAAAGGTGGAAGAAGGAAAGGCATAGAAGCATCGCATGGACTCTTCTCTGTTTTTGTGGATCATATACCATCAAAAATGGATGCTAAATCATTGTTCAAGTTCTTCACAAAATTTGGCATAGTCAAGGATGTATTCATTCCTTCCAAAAGACGAGTAGTGTCACATTCTAGGTTCGGATTTGTGAGGTTCGATTGTAATGTAGCAGCTGATATAGCCATTCAAAAAGCCAACAGTCTTCTGGTGGATGACAAAGTTCTAGAAGTCAAAGCTGCAACTCTTGATAGAAGAAAGAGGGAGGAGAATAACAGGCGGAATCCAGAACTTATGAAACCACAGTTCATCCGGAGAACTATTGAAGCAAATAGATCCAGAGGACATAATCCATTTGCTTGCCAGAGATCCTTTGCTGATGTTGTGCAAGGGGTGAATTCGAACACCTCCATCAAAGTCACTGAAGAGGGTAACGGTTGGCTCTATGAGAGTGCCATTATCCGCCTGAATACAGAACACTCCATACACAGTGTTCGTGAAGCATTGAAGGAGAAAGGTCTGGAGCATATTTTGGTTAGGCATGGGGGTGGAAGAGATGTAATATTAACTTTTAACACTCAGGAGGAGTTGGCATCAAACATCGACAATCTCAAAGCTTGGTTTAAGGATCTGAGTCAGTTTGTGGCAGCGCTCAAATCTGGAAATCATTTTGTCCAAGAACGATGTGTATGGCTCAAATGCTGTGGGATACCCTTACATGTTTGGAATAACAGTACTCTCACCAAGATTGGTCGTTTATGGGGCTCGGTACTCAGCATTGAGGGAGACTTGTGTGAGCCAAAATCATTCTCCCACGCCAGGATTAGGATAGCCACTACAAATATGGAGTTTATTGCTAAATCTTTAACTTTGGACTGCAATGGTGAAGATCATAAGATCTTTGTGTGCGAAGACTTCCAACCAGATCTCAGTAACCTGTACCATAATGGCATGTACGAGGCCAATTCTCTTGCAACCTGTTGCAGTGTTGAGGAAGACAATATTCCAGTGATAGATGGTAAAGCGAAGGGAAGAAGATGATGAGGTGGCAGCGGGTAAGGCCATGTTTGGTGCTGAGCTTGCGTGTCCGATGGACACAATGGTTGAGGAGACACCCTGTGATGGAGGCGTAAACAGAGGAGGAGCGTGTGCTGAGAGGCCTCTGATAGATTTGATGGAAAAGGCTGACCACTTTTCAAATATCAATGATGAGAGACAAAAGTGTATTGAACAAGTTTATACACCTGGGTTTATACGTTGTATGAATGAGGCAAATGCTGGTGGTGGACCCGGCATTAATTTAGAAGTGGACCTGGCCCACTTTGAAAAGCAGCCCGTAAACTGCAGGCCCCTTCATTCCAATGGCCCTTCCAGTAGGCCCAATGTACCTGCATCAGACAATGGTTCAATTTCTGGCCCTTTGACCAACTTAAACCCGTGTATGAGGAATGACTTTGCTCATACCCAGTCAGCTCAAGACTCAATCTCAGTCTCCAGCAAAGAACATCAGCGAAACCTGAGGAATAAAGGGAAGATGAAGTCACAAATGGAGGGGTTCACTAGCTTTGCTAGGATTCATGCGTACACAAACAACGCAGCCAAGAAGCACTATTCTAAATCTGTTATCTACAGGCCTGCTGCTAAAGCTCTAGCCCAGTCTAATTCATTTGCAGGTGATTCTTCTCTGAGAAACCAGATTCTTTCTGAAGCTGCAGCTACAATACAATTAGGGAAGTCTCTTAGAATAGACTACCATGGGAAGGAAGGCATTGTGCTCCACAAAATTGCTGAACTAGAACTTAAAGACAAGGAGAAAATTGCCAAGGAGGGGAAGGACCAGCAGTAAAGGAAAGGAGTAGGGCCCTATGAGAGAATCAATGGGTTTATCATGAAGTTAATATCCTGGAATATCAGGGGTATGGGGAAGGTGGAGAAACAGGGTAGAATCAAGACGCTCCTAAAGGACAGAAATGTTGATATTGTTTTTTTTCAAGAAACCAAAAGGGCAATTATAACAGAGGGTGAAGCTAGAAGGCTATGGGGAAGTAAAAATATGGAGTTTATGTCTGTTGATCCTGAAGGAACAGCCGGAGGACTGCTATGCATATGGGATCCTGCAGTTTTCACACTCTCTGGTTGCTGCTGCAATAGGAGGTACATTCTACTCTCAGGTTCCTTATATAACACTTTTAACTGTGTTCTGCTTAATATACATGCCCCCAATGATGTTGGTGCCAGATCTTCTTTTTGGGCTAGTGTCTTAAAGCTTAAATCCCTTTTCCCTCTTCCTTGGTGCATGGGTGGTGACTTTAATGAAATTAGCCATATTAGTGAAAGAGTTGGTTGTTCTAGGAGAGACAGGGGCATGAAGCATCTTAATGAATTCATTGGGAATATTGAGCTTCATGATCTACCACTCCATTGGAGGAGATACACATGGTGCAATGCCCAGGAATCAGAGAAATGGAGTAGAATTGATAGGATTTTACTAAGTCCTGAATGGATGATTAATTTCTCAATGAAATTGTGGGGTTTACCCAGGCTAATCTCAGACCATTGCCCTCTATTAATGATGGAGGATTCCAGAGATTGGGGGCCAAAACCCTTCAGGTTCCTAAATGCGTGGACTCTTCACCCAAGCTTTGCTCAATTCTTTGTCTCATCATGGTCAGATACCTCTTTTGTTGGCTGGTCTGGGTATATACTCTCCCAAAAGCTAAAGCATCTGAAGCAAGTCTTAAAATCTTGGAACATTCAGGTGTTTGGCAATATGGCTTCTAAAATAAAATCTTCAGAAGATGAATTACATGCTCTGGATATAACTGCAGAGGAAAGAGCACTGAGTGCTTCAGAAAAGGCAAGAAGAAGGGAGGTTAAAGGCGAGTTGTGGAAGCTATATAGAATGGTAGAATGGATGTGGCATCAAAAATCTAGATTGAATTGGGTTATCAATGGGGATAAAAATAGTAGGTTTTTTCATGTAGTTGCAAGTTCTCTGCAGAATCGTAATCTCATCAACTCTATTTCAGTAAATGGAGTGTCCATTGAGGATCCTACTGGAGTTAGGCAACAAGTTCTCATTCACTTCAAGGCCCAATTCTCTGAATCATGGGTTAACAGGCCTTCTCTGTCAGGGGCATTCAACATCATTGACCCGGAATATGTCTCCCAACATCTGGTAGCTGAGTTCAGTGCAGCTGAGGTACTTGCAGCAATTAAAGACTGTAACAATAACAAAGCTCCAGGCCCTGATGGGTTCAACCTACTGTGCTATCAAAAATTCTGGAAGGTCTTGAAGACGGACATAATGCAATTTTTCAAAGAGTTTCACTCTAACAGCAAGCTTGCATATGGCATTAATAGCTCATTTATCACCCTTGTTCCCAAGGTGGACAACCCTATTGGTCTATCTGACTACAGACCTATTAGTCTTGTGGGATCAATATACAAAATCCTGCCCAAAGTCTTAGCATCCAGGTTAAAGTCAGTGCTCCCCTCAATAATTGGTGAAACACAGACAGCCTTCTTGGGAGGGAGAAATATTCTGGATGGGGTGTTTATTGCTAATGAGGTAGTGGATGGATGGAAGAAGGCCAAAAAACAAGGGTTGATTCTCAAATTGGACTTCGAGAAAGCTTTTGACTCTGTCAACTGGGAATTTTTGTTCTCTTTGATGGGCAGTTTTGGTTTAGGGGATAAATTGATCGCTTGGATGAAGATTTGTGTCTCCACAGCTAGAATCTCCATTTTAGTGAATGGCTCACCAACTGAGGAATTTTCACCTCATAGGGGCCTTAGACAGGGGGACCCGCTCTCACCTTTTCTATTTAACATTGTGGCGGAAGGTCTTAACATTCTTCTAGTCAGAGCCCTCAATCTTGGTATTCTCAAAGGGGTGGCTGTTGGATCTAACAATGTTCTTATCTCACATTTGCAATTTGCCGATGATTCAATCCTTTTTTGTGAAGCTGACTATGCTCAATTGGTATCCATTAAAAGGGTTCTCAGATGTTTTGAAGTATTATCTGGCCTCAAAATTAATTACCATAAGAGTGTCGTCTGTGGTGTCGGTGTAGATGAAGGCTGCTTAAATATCTATGCTTCTCTTCTCAATTGCAAAGTACAGAGTCTTCCACTAAAATTTCTGGGGCTGCCTCTAGGAGCTAATCCTGGAAGGAAATCTACTTGGAAGCCTGTAATTGAAAAAATCAAGGCTAGACTGTCAGGTTGGAAGAGAAAACTACTGTCCTTTGCTGGTAGATTAACTTTAATCAAGTCCACTCTATCTAGCTTACCTATATACTTTCTTTCCATGTTTAAAATGCCGGAAGGAGTGGCTACGGAAATAGAAAGGCTAGAGGCTGCCTTCTTATGGGGTAGCAGTGATCTTAAAAGGAAAGTGCATTTACTGAAATGGGAGGAAGTTACAAAGAGAATTGAACAAGGGGGACTTGGCATTAGAAGGGTCAGAGACGTTAATGTTTGTCTACTCTTCAAATGGTGGTGGAAGTTTGGTATTCAAACCAATGCTCTCTGGAGGTCAATTGTGTGCAGCAAATATAAAATTAACAACTCATGTTGGCTCCCACCTTTGAGTCTCTCATACAAACACTCTAGAGTCTGGAGGGACATCCTCACAATAGGGGCCCTCAATAGGCCTATCTTTAATTTTTTTGTGGGCCAATGTGGTGTAAAGGTTGGGAATGGCTTTAGAATCAGATTTTGGTTTGATAATTGGTGTGGTGGCCTTTGTTTGAAATCTTCTTTTCCCCTCCTCTTCAATTTGTCAAATGATAAGGAAGGTTCCCTCAATCATTATTACGCAAGGAGGTCAAGCCCATTTGATTGGAATCTCCCCCATAGAAGAGAGTTATATTCATGGGAATTGGCTGAAGAGGTGAGAATGAATGCTCTCTTATCCTCTGCTCCTTCTCTGTGTTTGGATTGTGAAGACTGCTTCGTATGGTGCACAGAATCTGGTCAAAGCTTCTCTGCTTCTGCCCTCTATTCTCACTACTCATCCCTCTTAGGCCCTCATCTCAAGGTTAGCAAATTTGTTTGGAACCCACTTTTGCCCCCCAGAGTATCTTTTTTCACCTGGCTAGCCTAGAAATCTAGAATCAAATGTTCTGATTTTCTGCTCAAGATTGGATCCCTTGACAGCAATGCTTCTCCCCTCTGCCACTTCTGCAACTCTGAAGTAGAAAACGCTCCCCATGTACTGCTTCATTGTTCTTTCTCTTGGTCAATATGGTCAGTGGTTATTAAGGATTGGGGCCTACATTGGTGCATTCCTAAGTCTGTAGAGGGCCTGCTTTATTGGTGGATGGGCTGGAAATTCAATAATTTTGACAGACTATTATGGAGAGCAATCCCCTTAATTGTACTATGGTCCATTTGGAAACTCAGAAATGAGTGTGTATTTTCTAATACACAACCCTCTCCTTCAGGACTGTTAGATCTTATAAAATACATATCTGCCATTTGGCTCAAAGCTTCCATTAAAGAATTCCCATACTCAGTTGATGATCTCGTCCACAATTGGAGGCAGATTAGGGGCGGAATTTAGCACTCTAGCTTCAGTCTAGTGCTATCTGGGTTGATGTTATGTTCCAGTGTGCAACCTGGGTTGAAGCTCTGTCAGTGTTCTACTATTCTGTTTCTGCATGCCTGCCTTGTTGTTTTGTCTGCTGGTTCGGTTTAGCTGTGCATCAGTGCTATATCTGTGCTCTGGCACTCCAATTCTGGTCAAACCACATGCACTGCCTGCTGCTCCATTTTGGTCTGTAGGTGCCACTGAACAGATCCACTTCGTGTTGCTAGGGAATGCTCTTAATATAAGTTCTGTTTTGGCAAAATAATTTGGGTCTGTGAACGCCTATGCAGTGTTAATCTGATCTGCTGTTTTGGTAAAATAATTTTGGTCTGTTAGTGGTTTTGCCGTTGCTGCTACTGCAGGTTTGAACTGTTGTGCAATTTGGTTGTTGTGAAGTCTCATCTGTTGTCTGATTTGTGCAAATCGATTGTTGTGAAGCCTGATC